ATTTTAATTAATATTATTTTCAATAAATTTATTAGTGTCAAAACTCTTATATTAAGGATTTGACCATTTTATCTGCAATAAGAATAAAATTGCAGAATATTATCTCCATAAATAATAAATATATTTTAAATTTTCACATTTGTTAAATAAAACATTCTGCAATTACCCTTATTTTGCATAAATTTTGCATATTTTAACGTTCCATATATCTTTGTATAAATATAATAGATAATTAACGATTAAAAATTAGAAACTAACAATTTCTGCACGTATTATGCATATTTTAACGTGTAATATTTAGAAATTCATAATTCAGTTTTAATATATTGATTAACATTTTAAAAACTAAGAAAAAATTAGCGTGAAATATAAATTCAAATTAACCTATAATTTATAATGAATCTTTATATAAATAAAATATGTAATCATTAGTCATGGTAAAAAATTATTTTTTAGCGATAAAAAAACATTCCTCAGTTAAAAATCTATCTTTCTTTTTTTCTTATTCTTTTTTTTTTGTTTCTATTTACAAAAAAATATAACCAACCGATTTAAGATTTCTCAAAAATAATTTTTAATGTTTATATGAAATTTCTTAAAGTTGTTTCTCTAATTTTTATTTATGATTCTAATCTAAGATTCCTTATATGAAAAAATCGAAAATTCCATTTTTTTTCTTTATCATAAGATATATTTTTTATTATAAAGTAAGGTTAAAAAAAAATTGTGAGATAAAGAATTCAGAGTCCAACAACTTAATATTTCTTTCTTTTTCTCTCTTACTTTCTCTTTTTCCTTTCGCTTTTCAATTTTATTCTTACTCTCATTACAGTCACATAGTTTACGTTTCTCTTACTCTCATCACAGTAATGCTTGTCTAAATTTAAGTAAATTAACGAAATTGAAATTCCTATGGAGCAAGTAGTAACTTCCAAGAAATTATCTTAAGCTCGAACTCCTCGACAAGAAAAGAGAATAAATATAATAATGAAAGTAAATATAAAAAGAGAAAGTTTATAAATCAATAATTGGCAAGTCGGTCATTAGAATTTAGGCAAGCATCGTGATCGTGGAGATAAAAAATGAAATAAAAACAAAAATTATAGAAAAATAATAAAAATAAATAATAAAAATAATAAATGAAATCCACCAAAAATTTTTTAGCGTGAATTTCTCTTCGGACCAAAAAAAATTTTTAAAAAGACACGATGCTTTTAAGATTAAATCGAAGATTCGAATCGAAGATTTAATAAGAAAGTCTCGGTGAGATTAGGTATAAGATAGCAATTCGATATCAAGTTGGAAAGAAGAACACGGAAACCGTATTTCTAGTTTTCGTCAAACTTTCTTCTTCAATAACCTTCCGTTGTTTCCTCCTTACTTCATCCTCCGTCTCTGGAATTCAATTTCGTTACTTTTCCTTTCTTTCGTTCTGTGGACGAACATTCGCAAACACTGTTCATCTCTTTCCATCGAACTTTTCTTCTCGGCATTGAATTGAAGTAACTTGACGCTCGATCTCACCGCAAATTCGATTCAATGTATTAAAAACTTGAAAACGTGCCCGCCATTCACATATGTTGCTCGTATGTACATTTGTTTTCGTTGTTGTGAAATTGATACATATTATATATATATATATATATATTATTTGATACAATATTTATATTACAAACACGATACGTCTGAAAAATTATATTTTATTTAATGAAAGTATAATCTTTTTTTTTTTGGTATTACAATAAAATATTGATTTTATTTTATTGTTAATTTTGATATATCAATAATGCAAAATCATGATGTTAATCATAATTATTCAGTAATTATTAAATAGTCAATAATTATTAATTAATGATTAAGAAAATTAATCATAATTGTAATCAGTTCAATACTCATAAGATAATTATGCTTTAAATTATGTTTAAATCAGTGATTAATTTGTTATCATAATAATAATAATAATAGTATAAAAATATGTATATACTTACTATTTACATTATTTTGATATGTAAAACAAATTGCTTATCTACTTTAATATTTATTAAACATTTTGATAATTTAAAAATAATATACCATGTATCTTTAGAATAATTATTAATTATTGTTACATATAAAAATAATCTATCATCAGAAATTGAAAATAAAAGCTTTTATCAATTATAATTGTTAACTAAATTAAAAAAATATTCCTTTTAAACTAGGTATTAACTATTTTTACTGTTGTTAGATTGGAATAACATCATCCCGATCAATTATTGAATCCATTATTACCCGATTGGTCGATAATATCAAGCATTTGCTATATCTGTATTATATATGTATGTTATGTATCATATAAGTATTACACAATATTATTAGATTAGTCTCTGTGAAGATTATTCGATCAATGATTACGATTATTACGATTATTCTCAATAATCGATCATAATAATGATTAAAATGTAATTAAACTCTGATCTTCGATCTGATTTTCGTTTATCCATTATATTATATTCTTGACAATTTTTTCATAACTAAAAATAATATGCTTCATCGCGATTAATGTATCCATAAATGTGTTCCAGCTTTCTATCTCTATGTATCCATCGTTTTATGTTTCCAGTAAAAGAAAAATAATAATATTTCATAAAACTTGTGCCCTATTTGGCCGCTTGCCGACCATTTTGCTGTTCTGAACAAATAAAAAAAAAAAAAGAATAGGGCAAGAGTGTAAACAGTTTCACCTTGACCAATCCAGTTATTTGATTTATGAATTATTTACACTTTACGAATTGCTACACGAACTCATTTATACAAATCCTTTGTTCGTATACGTGCACATTTTTGTATCTGTTTATATATCTTTCAAATTATTAAAATTATTTATAAAAAATTTATATGCATATATAAAATAAATTCTTTTGTTGCAATCTTAGATATAAATAAATAAATAGGCAGATTAAAACAAATAATTTTATTGTATTTATGAACGTTTTTTATATAAATATCTTATTCTAGAGATTTTCAATCAGTATTTTTTTTTTTTCAAGATAAAAAGAAGAGTGTAATGGAAATATATACACAAGTCATCGTAATCGTTTGTAATAAATTTTAAGAAAGAGAAATAAATTTTAACCGATTTATTTATTAATTAATATTCTCCCTCAATAACTTGTCTTTATCTTAACGATATTATCGACATATCGTTATATCGATATATATCAATTAATCGATAATAATGGACAGTCATATTTCTACAATATTGTTTCACGATATTATTTTTTTTTTATATTAAATTGGACAAAAATTAATGAACAATTTTTGTGTACTTTTTTTTTTTTTTACAAAATATCAATAAAAAAGTTTTAAAAATATTTATCAGAAAGAAAATTAGACAGTTTAGTACATGTATATCCAATTTAAAAAAATTCAAAATCAATGGTATAGTTTATTTCTATCTTGTCTCATTTACACTACATTTTTCACCAGGATTATCCCTATCGAATTCCTATCTCGTCCACCTTACGACTGTTTCGTTTCTCTTTTTATGGATGTTTCGCACGAATCGAACAAAACACGTAATATAACGAAAACAAAAAGAAACGAAGAGAAGGAAGGAGAAAGAGTTCCTTTGACAGGAATTTTCTCGTAAATTGTATTTTACGTTTCTTTGTTTGCCATCCTGTCCGACGGCGAAGGAATGCAAATTATCTGTACAACAGTGTCTTTTTTAGAAGATAGTTGGTATGAATGAGACACGTATCGTATGAAAGCGATTATTTTTTTTTTTTTTTTTTCATGTTTTAAACTGAAAGTTTCTCCAAATATTTTGCAAATTATATTATCATTTTATATTTTGCAAGAAAATAGTACATTATACTTTTTAATTTTTTTAAAGAATAATGCAATATGCATTTTTGTTTATGCGAACACCCATTATATTACGTTCTATTACGTAAATATTTTATTACAGATATGAATAATACATTTTCCATTATAGTCTATAAATATATAAAGAATTTATTTATTTTTTTTTTTTTAGGATTTTATTTCGAAGCATTTAAAAAAAAACTTTTTAACTTCAAAAATAAGTTTGAAACCTAAAAATAATATCATAGAAATAATGATAGAATCATACAATTCTGAAGAAATTATATAATTTATTCTAAATTTAGACTTTATAGATTTGATTTTTTTGAAAATGAAAATGTTCTACTACTATATTATGTATTATAATAATGAAATAATTGATCTCTTTAATGATGTAAATTAAAATAATTGTTTAATTTTCTTTTTCTTTTTTCAAACAAACAAAATATCATTCATCTCTTCAACTCTTTGATCACTATTATGAGACTGTGATGTATATTGTCTCATAATCATAGATATAATAGATATGGATGCAAATTAAAATATACAAATATATAAGAAATATATAAAAAATTAAATAAATGGAATTAAAATAGAGATCTGTTCCTTTCTTTAACATATATCAAATCTGATTATTTTAAGCAATTTTCAAATTACATTTATTATAAAACTATTCAAGAAATAATTTATTTTTAAAATAACATAAATATTTAATATATAATTAATTAAATGATTTAGTTAACATTCCACGAAATAAATTATTTAAATTATTTCCTATTATTAATTAATTTCTTAATATTATTATAATTATTGTTATGATACTAATACTATTACTATTACATTATACTATTGTTATACTATTATTCAATATTTTTTGTACATCATATGCATTTTCTACAATTCCAATTTTCCATAAATTCATAAATTTCTCTATTCTCTAAATTACCTTAAAAAATTGCATTTCTTAAACTTGTTATAAATTTATTATAATAAGTAAATAATCATATATCATCAATTTCAAAAATTACAAATAACTCATAATCTAATTCCTCTTACTATGTTTTTTACCTGTAATAATATTTATCACGTTACTATACGTTTAATATGTGTGCTATTTGATTTTTATAGACAAAAGTTCTCTCGTGTTTCAGCTTATTCTCGGATTTGAGAAGCCTGGCGGGCACGACCCTTATGAATCTCTTGGCAGCTCTCTTCATGGTTCAACTACTCTTCATAGTTGGAGTGGGTGGCGTTCAGGTAAGTTTCGACAGCTTTTTCCAAAGGAAGAATTCTCTTCCTCTTCTCCCTTTTTTAACTTTTGCTCCTTGTTAGATATAACTAGATCTATTCGAAGATTTGGCATTACATAAGTGATTTTTTATACAATTTTAAAATAATTTTTAAACGATATCATCAAATTTAAATGTTTAAATATCATGTATAATTTATAAAATATTTCACACGAAAAGTATATCGATTTACTTGTAATAAAACGATTTGTTTGTCGCTTTATGAAGTTATTTATTATTTATATTTTTTTATTGAAATTAACTCTTATTAAATATGCAACGTTTCAAATAGTTATATTATTACTGTGTACAATTATTATCATTATATATTATTTATATATATATATAATTTATAAAAGTTACAAAAGTAATATTAATTAATTATTTATTCTGAATGTTAATTAAAAAATAAATTATCAATTAACGAATAAACTTTATTGTTTTCAAATAATTAATTCTTCAATTACGCACTTGGCCAAATAAAAAACATAATATCGATTAAAAAAACATTATACGTACCGAATAATGATTAATAATTTAAAAATAATTAGTTCAAATAAATTTCGTTCAAAACTATTTTTGTCGTATTAATTTAAATCACGAATTATATTTTAATAAAAAAATATACCCAGCCATATCATCATCTTTTTCTCAACAACGTAAAACTATTCTCGTGTAAATTGTAAAGAGGTTTTTATCCGTCACGCGTGTCAGGTTAATTAGCGCAGATTTACCGTCTCTCGGTAAAAAAGGGAAAAAAGAAATCGAACGAGAAAAGAAAACGGTTCGAGGCGATGGATAGATTACCGAGAGAGCACGAAGCTTTTTCTTTTAGGGAAATAAAAAAAAGAAAAGAAAGAAAAAAGAGAAAGACGTTTACACGTAACGTCCGAGAACTCGGTTGGAGGAAAAGTGAATAGAAATCGGGCAAGTCGCAGAGGGAATGTCATTGCATGGCAAGGGAGGGAATTCTAAATGGTTAAAAGCGGTCTCGCGAGTGCACGTAGCCTGGAATCATCGTGGCAATACTCTAGAGTCAAACAAAAGCCACGGGATTCTGTTCAACGTGTGACTTCTCAGTTGCTAAGCTCTCTAATGAAAACAGCACCGCAAAGGACAGGCGACTTCTGCCAGAAACAACTATTATGCGCCTCTCTGTTTCTTTTGCTTTCTCGCAAAAATATTTTTCTCTTTCGGTTGAAAAAACATAGCCATGTCATTAGGAGAGTAGTAGCGTGTAGCGCGAAAGAGGTTGGCAGTTTGATGATGTCTCGAGTTAGTGTAGGTTATACATGTGTATATGTGTGTGTGTGTCTATTCGCACACCTATACTTATTTTTTTCTTCTTATCTCCAGCTTTGCCTGTAATTGTAAATATATGTATACTATTGTTTCCAGACCAGAGTTCATAAAATGTTTCTGCTTCTTTTAAGTCCAAGACTTTTTGAATGTGAAAAAATAAAATGTTGGGAATACAAAAGGTAAAAGATATTTAATCTATATATAATATATAGATAATAGTGAAATCTTTAAAAAATATCAATGATTATTAATTATTAACTATTAGCAGTCAATTTATTACTTTCTTTACTTTTTCAAATATTCGAATTATTACATTTTTTCACATAAAAAATATTAAAAAAATATATATTTTGTTAATTCTTAAAATTAATTTAAACTAAATGTTTGTCATAGTCATTTATAATAATTAAAATAAAAAATTATAATGAACTTTCACGACAACCATTATTTTTCATTAATGTTTCTTTGTTTATAATTTATTATAATTTAATAAATAAGCCTTGATCATCATTTTTATATACCAAACTTTTACGTTTATTTTCATATTTAGAATTAAATCTACAAAGATTTTCCATGAATATAATAACATTTTACATAACTTTATTTAACTTTTATATAAGTAATGTAAGAAAAAGAACGAAAGAAATTAATAATGAATGATTAAATACTGCGTTGTGATTCGATCTTAATCGTAAAGAAAATATATTTCTAAGATTTAGTATACGTGTACACAATATACATAAATTATATTTGATGTAGATTAAGTCGTTAATTTATCGTTATATTGGAGAGCATCTAAAGAATTTAATCCCTTGATTTATAATAGGATATTCTGAAGCTCACGTTTAATAAATGGTATATTTTAAAGTTTATAACAAAATGAAAATATGTTTCGATTTTAATAAATCGAAGAATTAGCAATCTAGGAGAATTTAAAATCATTTCAAATTGAATTGAAAATTTGTTTCCTGGAAATAACTCACTATTGATTAAAAATGCGAGAGAGATTTTTTAAAATATCGAGAATTTCAAGAAACTTGAACTACGAAATCAGATTTCTATTAGATCCAAATAAATAGTATTTTTTTTTTTTTCACTTTTAAAAAGATTCTATTCAAATTTTTCATTTTATAACATCAACATTTTCATAAATGTAACTATGGAATTTTTATGAAAATGAGCATTATAATTAAAAGATTATTTAAAAAATGGAACAGATATTTTATAATCTATTTAACAAAAGTATTATAATTTAATAAATAAGCCTTGATCATCATTTTTATATACCAAACTTTTACGTTTATTTTCATATTTAGAATTAAATCTACAAAGATTTTCCATGAATATAATAACATTTTACATAACTTTATTTAACTTTTATATAAGTAATGTAAGAAAAAGAACGAAAGAAATTAATAATGAATGATTAAATACTGCGTTGTGATTCGATCTTAATCGTAAAGAAAATATATTTCTAAGATTTAGTATACGTGTACACAATATACATAAATTATATTTGATGTAGATTAAGTCGTTAATTTATCGTTATATTGGAGAGCATCTAAAGAATTTAATCCCTTGATTTATAATAGGATATTCTGAAGCTCACGTTTAATAAATGGTATATTTTAAAGTTATAACAAAATGAAAATATGTTTCGATTTTAATAAATCGAAGAATTAGCAATCTAGGAGAATTTAAAATCATTTCAAATTGAATTGAAAATTTGTTTCCTGGAAATAACTCACTATTGATTAAAAATGCGAGAGAGATTTTTTAAAATATCGAGAATTTCAAGAAACTTGAACTACGAAATCAGATTTCTATTAGATCCAAATAAATAGTATTTTTTTTTTTTTCACTTTTAAAAAGATTCTATTCAAATTTTTCATTTTATAACATCAACATTTTCATAAATGTAACTATGGAATTTTTATGAAAATGAGCATTATAATTAAAAGATTATTTAAAAAATGGAACAGATATTTTATAATCTATTTAACAAAAGTATTGTGGAAACAAATTATTTTAAAATATTTATTGAAAAAGATTTCATAAAATAAATAAAATACTAATTTTATTTAAAAATATATATCATATCATTTATGTGTTTATGATAGATATGATGTAATATTGTTAATATTATTACTAATAATATTATTCATTCAATATAAGTTTCACATTTAATTAAATAAATATATTTATCAAGTTATCAAATATATGTATTGATATTTGTTATAATAATGAAAAACATTTTTAATATTGATAAATAATATTTGTTTTTGTAAATAAATTTCTATAAGTTGTTTCAGAATATTTGTTAGAAAATAAAATAAAATTCTCTGAGATAAATAAAATTATCAAATTATTAAAAGATAAATAACTTTATTTAACAAATAAAATATCATAATACGTGAATAAGAAACATTATAAATTATTATTTAATATTTTTCTCTATTCTTAAATAATATTTAAGAATATTTTAATATTTGTATTTATGATGATGGAGAACCTTTTTTAATATAAATGGATGAAATATGTGTTTCTGTAAAAAAAAAAAAATCTTTATTTTTATATTTCATAAATTCTTATCAAACTAGAATTTCTATTATTAAGAAATTTTTTTTAATCAATGTTCTCATCAAAACTTGTAATGTGAAAACTTTTTTAAAAAAAAATTTCATGGTCCATGTTATAAATAAAATCTTGATTGCCATTTTAATATAAGCCATGGAATGCCATGAATCCAGAAATTTTAATTAATATTCGTAGATAGAAAAGAAAAAAAGTGATAGTAACATTATATTACACGAAATATTACTTTTAAAATTATAATAATTAAAACTAGTGTAATAATTATTATAAATTACAATACAATACAAAATATCCTTTTTTTTTTATTCTTTTTCTATTCTATTAATAGAATTTTACAAGTTTACAAACAAGAAATTGTAGATCATTTATGAAAATTATTTATATTATAATTCATATTTATAAATATTTAAGAAAAGAATAGCTTTTTTTTATTTCAGTATTGATTTTGTTGATTTTAATTTATAACTAATGATTTAAAATATGAAAGTTCATATCATAATTCCATTTTCTATTAATTGGACTTGCATTATGATTGATCATGTCTTTATGGTTCTTCCCGATTATCTCCTGTTTCCTGCCAATCTTCGTATCCTAATATTCCTAAGCAAATATTGTTGCCAATTCTAATGAATTTTTCTACTATTTCGAGAACTTAGATAAGACTAAAAGATTTGAAATAAATTAAAAATAACTATCATTTCACAAGTATTTTTAATTTACATATTTATCTATAAATATCGTTTTTCATATTCGTTTTAAAATATGAATTTATAACATAAAAGTAAAGAAAATAAAAATTACAATATATCTACTTAATAACATGATAAGAATTTGAATTAAAGACAGATAAATGCAAAAGGTATAATTAAAAATTTATTAAAATTTATTGTCCACGATAAAAATTAATTTTATCGAAACTATCTTCATATTAAAGCTGATTAAAATTAAAAATAAACTTTTCTCATTAATAGAAAATAATTATACAATTTTAATTTTAACTTTTCCGTTCCATCCTAAATTATATACAATATTTATGCTGCCTTTTAATTAAAACTAAATCCTATCCAGTAT